ATCACCCAGATGGTCATAAAGACCATGTAGCATGACTCTTCATAAGAAGATGCGATCACTGGATTAATAATTATATTTTCATGCCGTTTCGGACTCCGTCGAGATACCTTAATCATAGGTGACCGTAGGAGAGTGTGAGACATGCGCATAATTCGTCCTATCGACAATCTCTTTGGGCACGATGCGCTCCGATCGGCTCGACGATCGGAATCCTTTGCCCTTCGGGAGTTTTCGATCTATGTGCAGCTTCAATTCCTGCACAGGTGTCTCGACAATAATGTGTTACCGAAATGTGTTTCGTACAGACCTCCGATTAATACAAAGTTGGCAAGACGCAAAGAATTTCAGCACGTCAAATGTGCGATCCGAGTGATCCTACAAGACTGTCCCACGAGGCTTCGCATGTACCCTCAGAAAATCGATGAAGAGAACGCAAAGTATTTCGAGTTCATGGGCGAGAAGGGTGCACAACTGCTCCAGCAGAGGGTGGTCGAACGAGCCCGCGAACACAAAGCGAAGCGAGAAGCAGCACTTGAAATTAAGTTTCGCAAGCTACCTCGTCCAAATTCATCCAAAAATGACAAACTGGTGCACAACCTGTCACCCAAGTAGCTGACCGAAGAACAAAAGCGAGTGCTAAGGCAAGAAGCCTCGTTCAACACAGCTGATGCCAGGCCAGCTAACAAGATTACTGCAGTAGACTCAATTCTCAGTCAAACAGAAGCGACGGACGAAGTGAAAAAATGTATAAGGCCCCAGATGTCGTCCCTCCTCATGGCCCATGACTCTTCATACTGAGAAAGATCGAGGTTCCGGTTGGCAAACTTTCAAGCCATGACTGAAACGCTTCTTGTCAGATTTCAGCATGTCAGAGTTGTTATAAGCTGAAATTTCCTGATGTGCTTTGTGATGCGTTTTTGTATATAGGCCTTAATTTGGATATAACTGCATGTTAGTTGAAAAAAAAGATATTACGTTTAATCCTTCGCTTAGATATGTCGAATTACTCGACTAGTTAGTGTGTGAGGTTAATTCAAGAAAGCGGTAAGAAGAATGCTCACCTGGATCCTATTATCTCGACGCATATAAAGTAATCTAATATTATTATTGTATTGCAAACCCAGTTAACCCATAACTTCAATCGGGATCGTATTTGCCCATTGGAATCAATAATTCATGCCCTTCGCTAGCCTTGACGCGCGTCCATTAGCTGTGTCTCAATGGGTGGGGAGGACCACCAAATCCTCCGCTATTACCAATACAAGCAAACT